CATCTTCATTAGGAAAGCTTGTTCCAAGAGATTTGGGAAGATCATAGTTGTCTGAACCAGACATCTACAATGGGAGATATCAAGTTTAGTTGATTTAATTCCTTAATATAACACCCAATATGAGATATTAAGGCTAGGACCCAACACAATATTTTATAACTTGGAAGAGGGATGCCGTAATCCAAGCTATAAAATATTTGAAGGTAGGCGAATGACGATTCACCAATTTCCACCATGAAAACCTAATAGGGTTTTAATTGGATTGAAACTCCTAGATCTTTTGAGATTCATTGAACTTTTCAATGGCGTGTTTAAATCTCGATTGTGCCCTCTCAAGTGTGTGACTGGGATGCCGAGGATCACAAACAAGGTGTGAATAACCATGAAAATTAACTTGGTACCCTTAATCTTTATCACCTAATCAATGTGCCGGTTACCCACACGCGCTCCACCGATCTATAATAAACATTAAGTCACCCTTTTCCACTCTTACTAGTCCATGTTAGTGTGTCGATTACCCACACACGCTCCACCAACGACTTGGTAAGGTACAAAGTGTAATTTCATGGGTTAGCACCAAATTCACATTTTCCTAAGTAACTAAGATTGGGAATTTATAAGTGTTTAGTTACTTAGTATTTATCATTATACTTTTAATGAAGGGAGAATTAATGTCCTGTCAAAACCTTTCGGCTAACGACCCTCCACCAGTCAAGGAAGCGGTGGGTGAGAGTGGACACCCATTAAACTGCCATTTTATAAGTAGTAACCTTATACCCCCCCCCCCCCTTATAGACCGGCTTTGTGAATGAGGCTTACTAACGGTAAGAATGACTTACTCTTATACATATATATAAATATTAAACCTATAATATTATAATAGTATAAGGGTTGAATTTTAACTTTTAAAATTCTAAGGGTTTAACTTGGAATTAAAGTACTCATGGGGGGAAACTTTACAAATTCCAAAACTTGAGGGCAAGTTTTGAACAATTCAAAAACTTTTTGTTTCCATAACTTATGAGTTTAAAGTAGCTTTAATGGAAAAACTCTTCAAGTTCCATAACTTGAGGACAAGCTATGGAAGGCTTTAAAACATTTAAAAATGAGACACTTCATTTTCATAACTTATGGAAATCTTATGAGTTTTAAAAAATCATAAATGAGACTTTTCATATAACTTGAGGACAAGTTACAAAAACACATTTTTATGAACAACTTTTAGATCAATTTGGATCGAAAACAAATCATCACATAATTTTTCTATTAATCTAAACTAACTCATAAGAACAAGATAATTCAAATCATCAATCTTCAAGAAATTAGCATGAACATATAAACTAATACAAATCTTGAAATTATGACAATTATCTTTGAAATTGGATTAGCATGAACATTACCACATCAAAAACAGGTTTATAAGTTCAAAAACAGCTTAGGGTAATGTTCCTAGTCCAATTCCAGCCAAAAAACTCGAAAATCTGCTGTCAGGGGCTCCAACTCGCTGAGTGCAAGAACAAACTCGACGAGTTGGATGAGTTTGTACATGGACTCATCGAGTCCCTCAATGGAATCGTCGAGTCCCCTGTCCAGACAGCAAACAAATTCAATTTTCAGCCTTTTCAGCAAGTATAACTTGAAAACAAGCCTTGTCTCTGATACCACTGTTGGGTTTTAGTATACTACAACATCCTATGGTGCACATACAACCCTAAATACCTTGGATCTATGTTTTCACTAATTATACATGCAAAGGAGTTTCCAAGGCATTAAACCTATAACTAGCATGCAATTTGACATAAACAATACAAGATACTAGTTAGAGTAACATACCTTTTTATGTGGCTTGAAGTCTTGACGTATTTGGTGTTGCTAGAAAGACTTTGGCCTTTAAGAACTTAGTGCCCCAAGTGTTGCACCTCAAATGGAATCACAACTCACCTAGGACAAAGGTGACTCTTGAGAGAGAATTCCATGCACCAAAACACCTCCATATTTCTCTAAGAAAAGAAACACTACTAAAAGTGGCGTTTTTAGGTCATGAAGAATGTATTTATATGTTGGATTTTCAAGGGTCGTGGGTATAACCCAAATCCATACCCATGGGTTTTATGATCCATGGTTCATGTGGCCCAACTCTTTATGTATCCATACATAAACTTGGTCCAACATGGATTATAAGCCCAACACATATAAATATAACTAATTACCATAATTAGTCCCCATAGATTTAATTAGTCTCTTTTGATCACTAAATTAATTCCAAATTAATTCTTGATCAATACTAATTAAAACATATGATTTCATATTAATATATTATAACTTATAATATATTAACAAATCATATATAACCTTCTCTCAAGAGTCCATCCTAACAAATTGTCCTGGTGTTATGCAACCCAAATGGACCATGCTACTCTCGGGTCGAGTACATACCAATAATAGTTATGGGCTTAGACATCTAATCCAACAGTACTGACACTCCTCAGTAAAGATGTGTGGCAGAACGAAAACACCGTCATATTGTTGAGACAGTCTATTCATTATTCTTGTATGCACAGGTCCCTAGTGCCTTTTAGGAAGAAGCAGTCTTAACTATTGTTTATGTGATTAATCGTATCCCTACTTCATTGAATTCAAGAATGTCTCCTTTTGAGAAGCTATATGGTCACCTACTCGACTACTCTGCGTTACAAGTTTTTGGATGTACTTGTTTTGTTCTTCGTCCTCATGTTGAGAGGAACATGTTAGGGCCAAAATATGCTATTTGTGTATTTTTTTGGTTATGGTGTTGGATAGAAAGGATATCGTTGTTATGATCTTGTGAGTCAGAAGTTATATGTTTCCCGACATGTCATTTTTTGGAACATATTCCTTTCCACTCGATTCGTGCTACAACCCATAATGTAACGAAGTCAGATCTTCATATTGATCCTTTCGATGAGGAGATAGAGGATTGAGATTCATCTATACCGCCTGATACTTCAGCTCATGACATGCCCACTTCTTTAGAGAGTTCCTCGACACCTCATACTCTTGAGTTTTCGCCTTTGACTGTTGAGATTGAAGATCCATCTCCACCACCACCCCTCAGGAGGTGTACTCGTCCTATCAAGTCCATCAAGCTTTTAGGTTTTGCTTATTATTCATACTCATGTTCATTTTCTTCCTTTATAGCCAACATCTACCATCTGTCTACACATGAATCGTATAAATAGGTTGTATTAGATCCTCTTTGGTAGAATGTTATGGTTGAGCAACTCACTGCTCTTCATCAGACTTATACATGAGATTTGGTTTCCCTTCCTCCTAGGAAATATATGGTTGGTTATCATTGGGTCTACAAGTTAAAAACAACATTTGATGGATCTGTTGAGCGGTACAAGGTCTGATTTGTAGCAAAAGGGTATTCCCAATAGTATGTTTTGACTATGAGGAGACCTTTTCCCCAGTAGTTAAGATGACGACAATATGTATTATAATTGTAGTTGTATCCGTTCGAAAGTGGAAGATCTTTCAAATAGATGTCAAGAATGTTTTTTTTTAAATGGTGACCTCCATGAGGAGGTTTATATGTCTCCTCCCCCAAGAATTCAACACCAGCCATGTGAGGTTTTTCGGCTTCGCAAACCTTTGTATGGTCTCAAGCAAGCACCTCGTGTGTTGTTTGAGAAATTCTCCACGGTGATTACCACTCTTGGATTTTTCTAAAGTAGTCATGATTTGACTTTGTTTATTAGATGCTCGAGTTCAGGACGGATTCTTTTGTCCTTATATATGGATTACATGATTATTACTGGTGATAACCATAATGTTATTGAGTCTTTGAAGAATGATCTAGCTCATCATTTTGCTATGAAGGATTTGGGCTTGCTGTATTATTTCTTAGGTATTGAGGTTGATTAGTCTAACAAATGGTATCTTCTTTCTCAGATTATATATATATATATATATATATATATATATATATATATATATATATATATATATATATATATATAGGGTCCGGTTTCGATGAGGACACCTTAAAAAAATTGAAAAAAAAAATAAAAAAAATATACAAAATCATAAAATTGAGCATAGTATTATATCCGAAAGAAAAAAAATGGAAAATTTTTTTTGGATCATTAAAATTGAATAATGGATCATAAAAATGATCCATGCTTCAATTTTAATGATCCAATTTTTTTTTCAATTTTCTTTCTCTCCAGTATAGTATTAAGCTTGATTTTATGATTTGTATTTTTTTTAGTTTTTTATCAATTTTTTTAAGGTGTCCTCACCGAAAAAACAGTCCTCACATGATCCTGATTATATATATATATATATATATATATATATAATATATATATATATATATATATCTATATATATATAACTTGTTTATACGAGCGGGCCTCTCTAACAATCGGACATAAGATACTCCTCTTGAAACCAATGCATGATACTCTCCTATTGATGGTGTTCTTTTGTCTGATCCAAATCTGAGAAAAATACCAAACAATGCATTTAAATGTCGATGTTATTGGTTGCATCGTCGCTAAAGCTTTTAAACCCAATATGTATGATCGTTCAACCCGAGAGCATATTTGTTGATTAATCCCTCAATCCAAAGACTGGCATCTCGTGTCGTACATTAGCATTTGTAGAAACATCAATAGCGGCTTACTTAGTTGTCACTAATGCCTCGAAACAATTAACCGCAAAAAGTTCCCTCCACAATCATCCATTCGCTGCCACTAAAATCCATGTGTCATCACTAATATCGGCACCACATCGTTTTGGCCTCCACTTCACATATACTCCACTTTATTTCTCTACAGATTCTTCGAAGATATCTTACAATAACCGAATATGTCATGAGTGAAATTCGTCCGAATTTCACCCACACCAACCATCGAGGCCACCAGATTAGACCCCTATTTGTTGCCGACCACCATGAACTCTTTTCAACTCTTATCAATGTGAATCGCCTATAATCTGCAATTATCGTGAACCACATGTTATCTCTTACGACGACGACGAAGACTACCAACACCACCAGCATCAATAGCCTCCCACCTGATACTTGTCACCTCATATTTCACTTGTCACCTCATATTTTAATAACCATTGTCGGCCACTTGCCACCTCTTTCTCAGGTTCTTAATTTCCCTAAAAACCTAACAATTTATCTTAACATGCTTAATTAGAAGGTTCTTAATCAAGATATGCTTCTTTGCATGTTAAGTTTCATGATCCATGTTAATAAGTACTTATTTACTAAGTACTTAATTGTTGAGGATTTAATTAGATTGTAATATGTTTTGAAAGTGCTTAATATGTTTAGCAAATGCTTAATGAAAAGTTTCTATTGATTTGATTTGTTAAAATGCTTGAAAAGTGCTAAATGATTTGTTAAAAAACTTAATTGACAAGCACTTAATTGTTAAGGTCTTAAAATAAAGTATAATGAAAAATTGTTAAGATAATGAATTTAGGCTATATATGAGTGTTTTGAAAATGCTTAATGAAAAAGTTGTTATTTATTTGATGCGTTAATATTCTTGGAAAATGCTAAATGTTTTATAAAATACTTAATTGGATGTCAATGTGTTATATGATTGATTGTTTAACAAATATTCAGTTGTTAATTCTCTTTGCTCCTTGAGTATATATATTTCTATATATACTTCGGGCTAAGGTATTTAGAAAGTAGGTTTAAAAGTCTAGCTTTGTAAATACTTTATCCGTTGTCCGATTTGTTGTTCTTGTATCGAGGGTAATATAGTCAATTTGACCCACAAATAAATAATAAAATCTTAAAAAATACAAAATAATATTTTTAGTGAGGTTAATATAATCATTTTAGTTTTGAATTAACAAAAATCATGACAAAAATACCACGTTAATGGTCCGTCTTAAAAATAATACAAATTTAAAAAAATTACAATTTACCTCAAACAACATTAACTAATTCTATTATTTACTCCGGTAGCGGATGCAACACAAAATCTCGGAAGTAGCAAACATGATTTTAAAAGTTGCATGTCAAAAAATATCTCAAAAAAATTACAATGTGCTGCAAAATCAAGGGTTGTACCGACCACCTCGGAAACCCCCTATATCCGTCCATGATTTACTCTTGTATAAATATTATAAAATATGAAAGCACATTGCTCATATAATATTGACTAAATATATTTTATTTTTTAAATATAATTTTTATGTACAAAGTAATACCGTATCTTTTTTAGGATATAAAATTTTGAAGGTTGGTTTTGTATTAAAAAAAAAAAGGTGGGTATTCTACTGAAATACGATCTCATTCATTCACACTTGAGAGATTCTCGAGGCCCGCTTTTGTCAATACCCTTTTCTCTTTCTCTATAGCCTTTTTCCCATGTTACAAAAAATAAGAATAAAATAAATAGAAACCCAGAAGTTAAATGGAAATTCTTATAAAAGAGATTCCATTTGTAATAGCTTTTCAACCTTTTATTATTATCTTGGAAAACAAAAAAGAAATACTACTCTTATTAAAATGTATTCCAATTCCACATAGTACAATTCAGCAAAAACGATGATTTTTTTAACAATAATTCAAATTTTAAAATAAAGATTAAAAAAGCAAATTTTTAGGACAGAGGTCAAAGCTACTCATTCCAGATCTCTGAAGCTTCCGCCCCACATCCTCATTTACTGATTTACAAACTATTAAAAATTGTATTTTTATTGGTGGGGTATGATTTATTTGACCATTATTGTGTAATGAATTGAAGGGGGATGTATTATTTTATTATATCAGTTTATAATATGGAAACAAGCTGTTCTGTTTTCCTCTTCAGAAAGTTCCCAACTTTTACACTCACTCTCTCTCACTCACTGCTTCGTAAATGTTAAATGTGTCTTTGGATTCTTTCTTAGATTTCGTCTTATTCCTTCTTTCATTTCGTAAAAGTTTTGCAAGCTGAAGAACTTCAACACTACAGCTCTCTTTGGTACTTCTATCAAGAACTAGGGTACAGGTATTTCCTCCTTTCGACTTTCTCAAGGGTTTTTCTATCTGGGTTTCTCGAATTATGTTATCTTTGGTTTCGCTGAAATCAATGTGGTGTTGTGTGAATCACGATTTGAGCTGAATTGGGTGTTTTGTGTTTTGTGGTAAAGATTGACCTGATCTGGTGAAATTGACTTAGAACCCCAAAAAGTTGCTTCCTTTTTTGATGTTTGAAGAGCGATTTTAAGTTTTTAACCTAGATGTTCTTCTGTTTTCGATTCGTTTATCATAATTTCAACTAAATTGTTGCTTAAAGTTAGCACATTGGACATTGATCTTCAATTGAAGCAATCTGTTGATGTTTCCTCTTATTCAGATGTATTTTAGCTACACAGATTTCAAGATTTACATTTAGCTACATGGCTACACATGGGTTGTTTGCTTTATTGTTTCCTTATTTGAATATTTACTTGTTTATGTATTTCCTCACATTGGTCTTTTAAGATGTTATTTTCTGTGTTTGGTGTGGACCACAATGTTGACCAGGGTGCACCATGGTTCATGGGCTTTTTGGTCTTTTTCTTGCTTATTTGCAAACAGACTGTTTCCATGGCTCGAACCCATAGCCTTATGGTGGAAAAGAAGTAACCTTATTTGTTTATTCAATGCCAATCCCTTAAGTTGAAACACAATGCAATAATACCATTCAAACTCTAATTGCTACGCCTTTAGTTTGTGGATTCCGGTGGAATCTAATGGAATTGGAATCGGTTGCCAAATGAACCGGATTCTTTTCTGTCCGATTCCTTCAAATTCCATATTTGATGGATTCATATTCCAATTCCATTCTTTCATTTTTGTATTTTTAGGGGTGAAAAGCTCTTGGTGAAGGTCGGAGTCAAATCCTCCATTGGAAGTTGAAACGATGAGGCTTCAAATGATGCTTGGATATGTCATGTTCATGTTTGGCAGTTTGTCCGTTGCATTAGGTAATGTCAAGTGTCCTCTTGATTCCCTTTAACTTGGTTTGCTTTGACTTTTGAGGTCAAACTTGTATTTCAAGAAAATGTGAATAAGTCATGTTCTTGAAATTTCACAGGCGCCTTCGTGGGAATAAACATCGGAACCGATCTTTCCAACCTCCCATCACCGGAGGAAGTGGTGGCAATCCTCAGATCCCATCAAATCACACACATCCGCCTTTTCGATTCCGACAACCACCTACTTAGTGCACTTTCCGACACCGGAATCGAAGTCATGGTAAGTGTAACAAACAACGAAGTCCTCCGCATCGGCCAATCTCCGGCGGCCGCCGCCTCATGGATCAACAAAAACGTAGCGGCATTCGTCCCCTCCACCAACATCACCGCCATTGCAGTCGGCAGTGAAGTCCTCTCCACCATCCCCAATGCCGCCCCGGTTTTACTCCCCGCCATGAACAACCTCCACAAAGCCCTAGTTTCCTCAAACTTAAACTACCAAATCCAAGTTTCCACCCCGTTTTCCATGGACATGATCCCGAGGCCATTCCCGCCATCCGCCGCCACTTTCAACACCTCATGGGACTCCACAATTTCCGATATCCTTCGGTTTTTAAGCACCACAAAATCGGTTTTCATGTTGAACGCGTATCCATACTACGGTTACGTCCAAAGTAATGGAATTTTCCCGATTGAATACGCGCTTTTCAAATCACTTTCACCGGTCAAACAAATAGTTGACCCGAATACACTCTTCCATTACGATAGCATGTTTGATGCGATGGTGGATGCTACTTATAATGCCATGTCAGCATATAATTCCTCGGGGATTATTCCAATTGTTGTGACTGAAACCGGGTGGCCATGGGCGGGTGGTGGTAATGAACGTGATGCCACCGTGGAAAATGCTGAAATTTTTAATAATAATTTGATAAAACGGGTTTTGAACGGGTCGGGCCCGCCTAGTCAGCCGATGATTCCGATGAATACGTATATTTATGAACTGTTTAATGAAGATAATAAACGGGGCCCGGAATCCGAGAAAAGCTACGGGGTGTATTTTAGTAATGGAAGTTCCGTTTATGCCCTTGGGTTGGATATATCGGGGGGAATGACAGTGAATGCTTCTTCGGGTGGATTTTGTGTTGCTAGAAAAGGAGCGGATGTGAGTAGCTTGGAAGACGGTTTGAATTGGGCTTGTGGGCCCGGCCAGGCGAATTGTAGTGCGATTCAAGCGGGTCAACCGTGTTATATGCCGGATACGGTTGAAAATCATGCTTCGTTTGCTTATAATGATTATTATCAGAGAATGCGGAGTGTTGGTGGGACATGTGATTTTAGTGGTACAGCTGTAACTACCATGGTTGATCCGAGTATGTGGCTTACTGCTCTTTGAACTGTTTGGTTCTTTCTTTCTTCTTTTATTAAGATTATGGGGCTGTTTGATGGCCTCTTAATGGAACCATTCAGAGCGAATCAGTCAGCATTCAGCGCGTTTGATACAGCCTCTGAATGGTTAAGGACCCTGCCTTCTATAACCATTAAGAGGTTTGAATCATTCAGCACTAAATGATTCAGTTTTATCAAACAGCCCCAACATGGAGTTATAGTTTTTTGTTCATTAAGATTGTTGGTGTCCATATGTGTCTGTATATGTTGGAGTCTATTACATCACTCGTTTCTGAACTATATCTTACTTTTGTAGGTTATGGATCGTGCATATTTACAGGAAGGTAAGAACACTAAGCTCTAAAATATTGATATTCAATGTCCCTTTTTTTTTATCAAACTGATAATGTGTAAAAATCTGTGTGAAACAGTACAAATTCCAGCATCGGTGGATTGGTTCCACCTGCATTTGGGCCAGTGGGGCCCCCTGGAGCAAGTATATCATGGCGTCAAGTTCCTCACATTTGGTGTTTAATTTTGGGCACAGTTGTATTGTCAGTCCTGTAGATTTTTGGCTTTCCTGTATAGCTGATATTCAGGCTCTTAGTGTTTTAATGCAGAGTGTTGAATATGATGAAATTCAACAGGAATTCTAGATTAAATTGGTAAAGGTTTAGTTGTGATTGCCGAATCTTGGGGTTTTTTTTTGTTGGTTTGTGTAATGTGTAAGTTATTGAGGCTCGTTGTGGGGTTTTGTAGCCTGTAGCGAAGTCATTCTATGGGAATATGATTGTATGGTGCAAAGTGACGATGAAATAGTTAATACTTAATAATGTGCGATTCATTTAACTTCCCAAAATGGCATTTTGAATTGTATGGATTTGGTTGGTTAATAATGTTGTCTTATATAATAATTTAATGGTCTTATATAACATTTTAGTTTCGAACCTTGGATGCTTTTGGTTTGTGAAGAATGTTTTGGAATGTTTGGTCAAACGAATTAAAATTTGGAACAAAAATTTAAGAAATATCAAAATAAAAACTATGATTTAAAGAGAGTTTGTTGGACCAAAGTTGCAAAACATTCATACTCAGTGGATCATTATTGTATCTTCTAAAAACTCTCTTTAAAATTCGGACACCATAGCCGCAATGAAGGAGATGATGAAGCAGAAGATGATGAATAGGTTTCACAAGCGCAATTCCTCTTCAGCATCGTATGTTGACTTTAAATCATGCGAAAAACTCGATTTCAAGTTCTCTACCCGTCAATCTCTTCAGGTCTATCTCTTTCGTTTTTCATACACACAACTGTTATTTGTTCCTCTTTGTCACTTTAGATGGATTGTCAAACGATTCTTCAATTGGTGTTGTTTAATTTAGATATTGTTTTTTTCTTTATTTGTGATTGAAAGCCAAGCCACACTCACAGTACATAGAAATCTTCACTTGCTAGATGTTTGTTTTTTTATACTTTGAGCTTTGATTCTCTATTATCTATATATGTTGCACGAAAGGTGTTTGTGGAAATGCCTAAAAGAAAACTCTTAGAATGTCTATTATTCTGACAGAATTCGATTTCAATCTCTCCTTATTTGTCAAGATAGGAAAAGTAAAAAACATGGCAAGATAGGAAAAATGAAATACATTCTGTTAGAATCTGGTCATGTGGTATTTATTCTGTCAAAACTTTTAGAATGTCTATTATTCTGATAGAATTCGATTTCAATCTCCTTATTTGTCAAGATAGGAAAAGTAAAAAACATTGCAAGATAGGAAAAATGAAATACATTCTGTTAGAATATGCTATCATTCCCTATTATATAGTTTCTATTAAATAAGTAATGCTTATATTCTGTCAGAATTTATTTGTATAAATGCATTCTGTTAAAGTGTCTTTGAGAATGTTTGTTAACAACAAGTACATTAGCTTCACTGGTAATACTAACGAATAATGCATCTTATTCTTTCATAATGGCTTGAAGAAGGAATTCAATATTGATCATACAAAAGAAAGATTTGGAATCGAGTTCAACAAGTATATTTTGCGAAGAATTACATTCTTACGATAATATATCACATTTTCATCATAGTTTGAATCAAGTGCATTATTAGGACCATTGATGAAGATCATGTGTATTTGCTTAATAATTGTATATTTAAGAATGTTATTTCTTAATATTTTTATTCATTTTTGATGATATTCTGTTAAAATATGTATAACTATATTAAATTGTATAAGACTATTAGTTTGTAAGAATATGTATGATTTTGTATTCACGTTCTAATGTATATGAAGAATATATGTTGAATTATTAAATCAGGTTAATTATCAAAAATATATGCATTGGAAATATATTCTGCAAGAATAAAATCGAAAATATCTTTACTAATTAATATTTGACATTCTGACAGAATAAAATCGGATTTTTAAATTTGAATTAATTTAAAATATTCAGATTTTAAAAAATAAAGGAATTAATTATCCCTAAAAATCCTAAAATTTCCTTTTTTAATATAGGTTAATTGACTAAAATGCCCTTATGTTGGAATTTGTGTGATTATATGGTACATGCTACCCTATTGTGATATCATAGACCCTCAGATTATGATCTTTGATTATATTCCATCCGGTGGTCCAGATTTGAGCATTCTGGCACACAATAGTTAGTAAAAACAAAATAACCTAAGCCTATATATATATATATATATATATATATATATATATATATATATATATATATATATATATATATATATATATATATATATATATATATCCCCTAATCTAATAAATAAGTATATTTTTGTCACGTGGCAATCTCTAAGCCTCCCCCAATCAATTTTTCCCGCTCAAATGTCTAAGTTAATTTCCGAAAATACCCTTTTACTTTAAACTCTCGGTGCATAAAATCCAGTAAGATTTTATAGCTCCATCTTCGGTCTCCCGTAGAATCAGCAATTAAATTGCAATTAATCAGGAAACAACATCATCTCCAAATTTGAATTGTTCTCTTTAACTCAACATCTTATATAGCCGCTTCCTCCCATGTTCAAGTTTGTCTTCGAGTTAGGGTTTTCCAAAGATGAATTTGATCTGCTCTCAAAATCTCCATGTGCTTCTCCTTTGCTTCTATTCCAGGAGACTTTTTATTTTTGGGTTTTTGGTTTCATGTTAAATTTTGGTATCTTGATTTCGCTTCCCCGTTCCTATCTTTCTTCGTTATTTCTTCTTTTCAACCCTAATGTTCTTTTTCCTACTTGCGATTGCAAGGAATCTAGGTGTTGCCGTTGCTCTACTACCAGGAATGCTCGAATCTAACGAAGAAGGGGTTATATGGAACGAAAAACATGGATTTCTTACATTCGTTTCTCTTAACGAAGAGGTTGACATCTACATCTTATAGGTTTAAACGAAAGCAGGTATTTTCTCCCTTCATCTCTCCTTCTTTTTAGGATTTCATTCAATTTGATATCCTAGTAGCCTAAATCTCAGCATATCACTGCCTTCCCATCTCATTTAAACCCTTAATTTCTTCTATAACCTTACTCTCTATTCAAAAAATAATATATTTCTAAGCCCTATTTTACTGTCAAGATCGAAAAAAGCAAGAGACTAGGGGCTTTAAAGTTTGAGCGAAAATAGAGGATGCGACGCTCGACAAGTTCATCAAGAAGCTTTTAGATTCTACGACCAAATCAGTTTCCATTCTCTGAATCAGAAATTTTAAAGCTTTGTTTTTGCTTCCATAGAGGTTTTCCTTAACCAACCTAATTTTCTCAAACTTAAAGCCCCGATTAAGATCTGTCATAACCAAATTTATTACTACCAGTATTGATTTCTTTCTGTATGGGTGTCTGATGTCTCTATACCTACCAAATGGTTTGTTCTTGGCGTAAATCTTCAATATTAACAATTGGAGGCGTAAATTACAGGATTGAATTTTTATTATTTTAAGTTTGGAATTCTTGAGAAAATTTGAAACTTTATGTGGTTTTGAAGTGATTTAAAGCATTTGGTAGGTTTAATTAATGGTTGGGTCAACATCATATCGTCGATCACCTCCCCTAGACATAAATTTGGATAAATTAATGGTTGGGTCAACATTCATCGAATTAATCTATGTTTGTGGCTTTACATAAACTTGGATGGTGGGCCCTAAACTTGGTTGTCAATTGTGCAGCCAAACATGGTTTCGATTTTTTGTTTTTGTTTTTGTTTTTTCTTTTTTAATTTGTAATGAAACAAGGCTCAATTTTAGGTTATTTTTCTTAATTTTATATTTTCAGTTGTCTTTAGGTTTGTTCTTATTTTTCTATTTTTATACTTTTTATATAAGTGGGTTTCTATAAGAGTAATTTCTCATGATTATCACTTTTCTTTGGCTTGTAGTTTTGACCAAACCTCGAGAATTCACTAGCCTAATACATATTTTTTTTAGGTAAACTCTATTATAGACCATATCTTTCACCCCTTCTTTTAGATATACAAGAGAATGAACCATTAAGCAGAGCTTTCAGATCAAATGGTTATCTTTTTATAATTTCTTGATTTTCTTCTAAAAATATATATATGACATGTTTAATTGTTTTCTAATGTAGGTTTTGGTGGTGATTGTTTTTATTGTAGGTTTCAAGTGTTGGATATGCTAAATAAAAAATGGATGTAGAAATGCTTGTGGTTATACAAAATCCAGGGGTATATGTGCCAATAAAGGTGAGTTTCTTCTTAAATTTTTGAGTTTTTTCTTCTTAAGCTCTCACCTTCCTCTTGTATGTGTCCTGAATATGACTATGGGAGATTTGTATTGCACTTTGACATAGCTTCCGTATATACTTTTTGGACTAGAGAATGAAACTCATGGAGAAAGATGTGGTTAATTTTTTTCAAATTTGTTTTTAGGTTGTGAGGTAATTAAAAAAATGAAAACTGCTTTGAGGATGTGAGGTAACAGAATGATAGTTGTTGTAAATTGATACTTGCTGTTAAACATACTTTCACCATGCGACCAACTTTTATCCGTCTAAGTGAGATATCTTGATTTCCTTCATCAGATTCTTGCCTCTTGAATCTTTATTTGAAGATGAAAATTAATTTTTTTTCTTAATAATGAGCTAAAATATATGTTTTCTGTTGCTTTAGGAAGATGGCGGGCTGAATCTGGATCACAAATGGTTTATTGCAAAATCTATTATATGCTTCAAACATGGTAAGAATTTGGTTCTTGATTTGCTTATATTTAATTTTAAGGTTGTGATTATTTGTTTTTTTGAACTCATGATATTTTGCTATATTTTAGTGCAATTTGGAACCTGGTGAATCCGCAAAATGAGTCTAGACAAAATTTATGCATTTGAAGATAGCAATATGTAAGGGTATGGTTTCCATTGTGATTAACACACAAAAGGGTAGTCAACTTTACGTGTTTTTTTGGCAATTAATATCATATAGTTTAACATACACTAAATTAAAATGGATATAATATTTTCTACTTTATAAAATATATTTTATTTGCGAAACAAACATAGAGTCAAGTTATATCTTGACTTTTATTTTAGATCTCGGGGTTGAAACCTGAGTGGTAGTTATTACATTCTTTTTCTTGCTCCTGTAAAGTTTATGGTGCATCGAAGCTGTCACTCAGAGTAGAGTGTTTCGACACCAAGTTGTAGTAAAGTATTTTGAATAATATGCTTTACTTATAGGGTCAAATATTGCATTTCTTCCGTTATGAATTGTGACTAAATTCTCGTGGAGGATACATGTTAACATCCTTCATACACGTCTTTCGATACATGTTAACATCCTTCATACACGTCTTTCCATTAACAGTTGTGTTTCAATATTTTGCATTAACAACATTATGATACTGACAAACTATTTAACAAGTTTTTGGTTAAACATACACATTTATTTTAAGAATTTCTTAAACATTGCCTAATTTGGAGTCATTGGTACTTTGATATCCTCATTTACGGTATATTAAGATGCTTAATCATTGGCTCATTGCTCTCAAAACGATTATTTGCTTATGACGACATAGTTATATCCATTTTTTATTACTATAGTTTTGTATGTGTCATTAGTTGCTCATCTCTTATCTATGTATGTTGGTACTTTGACAGTGAATTAGGCAAAAGCGGATTAGATTTGTATTTGCAACATACCGGATCTGGGCAAGGGTTTTTCAATTGGTTATTTGTCAGTGAATTTTGTATAATAATTGTTTATATATATATATATATATATATATATATATATATATATATATATATATATATATATATATATATATACTTTTTCTTCTTTTGTTAACAAAATTTATTTGCTTTTGTAGTTTTAAACAATTATTTTTTTATGTGGCGAAAGTACATATTTCTCCAAAACAAAACATTGTATTACTCTCCTAAAAGAAAACACAGTATGTAAATGAATTGATTTAAGTTACTAAAAAGTTATCCACGGTTCCAAAAAATGACGTTTATAGAAATAAATTGATATTATAATTGATAAATAATTTTTAGAATTTTCTAACATTTATTATAAAATATTTCAATCTTTTACCCGTGGTTTCCACGGGTTGTAACCTAATATATATATATATATTATATATATATATATATATATATATATTATAGATATATATATATATATATATATATATATATATATATATATAAAGAACCATTATTAATCAAGGAACCAAGGAAACAATCCAAAACGTCGAAATTTAAAGCGATCAACGGTAAAAATGATGAGTTCTAGACTTTTACAATGGACGCACATGCACCGGATTATAACAAAACTCACTTCCTTTTTTTTGTTTAAAATTTTTTTTAGCCCATGTTTTTTATCGAAAAAAAAACCGAGTATACTGTTGTTCACGATTTTTCGTCCTCTTTCCAAAGAGATCCATGATGATATATAAAAAACGAACTTTTTTTTTTTTCGAAAAAAACTCACTTCATTTTCTTTGTTGAAAAATTAAAGTCTATTTTTTATAGAAAAAAAATTAATAAATATATCAAAATTCATGTTTTTTTGTACTTTTTAAACATAGATTCATATTCGTGTATTAAAAAAAACGATATTTCAGTTCAGATTCACATTGTGAACCTGTTCATATTCATATTTTGAACCTGTTTAGATTCACATTATGAACCTTCTCAGATTCATAGCGTGCATAATAGTAAGTCAGATCGAGCTTTTTCACATTGTGAATGTTAAAAATTGAAATATTTACAGTTTAAATTCACAGTGTGAATCTACACTAATCGATGTTTTTTTTTTTTGTGAACTTTTTCATATTCATAGTGTGCATACTAGCAAGTCAGATTCACAATGTGAATCTGAACTGATCGAGCTTTTTCACATTGTGAATGTTAAAAATTGAAATATTTACAATTTAGATTCACAGTGTGAATCTACACTGATCGAGATTTTTTTTAGTCGGTGTTGATTTTTATTAATAGAGTACAAAAAATTAATATTTTTTGGTATAATTAGTTTTTTTTTTGATAAAAATAAACTTAAATATTGAAAAAACTAACAAAATGAAGTGGGTTTTTTTCGAAAAAAAAAGTTTGTTTTTTATATATATCATCATGGATCTGTATGGAAAGAGGACGAAAAATCGAGAGCAACGGTATATTCGGTTTTTTTTTCGATAAAAAATGTGGCCTAAAAAAATTTTAAACGAAAAAAAGAGGTGAGTTTTTTGGTAAGGAGGTGAATTTTTTTGTATAATTCGGTGTGTGTGCGTCCAATGTACAAGTGTACATCTATTTTCTTGGCCGTTGATCATTATGATTTCCGACGCTCACGATTGGTTCATTGGTTCCTTGTTAATTATGGTTATCTATTGAACCGCACCATATATATATATATATATATATATATATATATATATATATATATATATATATATATATATATATATATAACAGTATATAATAAATTATTAATTTCATTCGTTACAATATATATAGAGTATTTTGGTCATTGAATAAAGTAAATTACAAATAATGGTATGCTAGATGACATGTTTTGTATTAGATATGAAGGAAATTAATATACTAAATGTGTAGTTGTCTCATAAATTAGATATGAAAGATCTAGGAGCAATTAGATAGATATTTGGCATGAGTTAGTAAGAGATAGAGCCAAATGCACTTTAAAACTTCCACATGATAATACATTAGGAAAGCATATGTAAAAGGTAAAAGTTCACATTTGAGAAGTTAGCATAAGTTCTCAAAGAAACAATCACACAAATCGAAAAAGACAACAAAAAATGGCTAGAGTTACTTATAATTAAATAGACAAGAGGAAGCTTGATGCATGTTATAGTATGTACGAGGCTAAACATTGCTCATGTAGTGAGAGTTGTTAGCAATTTTTTGTCGA